TTAATGACTTAGTCATAACATCTGCAAGTTGTTCACTGGAATTGACAAATTCAGTAATGATTTCCTTGGACAGCAACTTCTCCCTCACAAAATGACAGTCAACTTCTATGTGCTTGGTTCTCTCGTGAAATACTGGATTGGAAGCAATGTGAAGAGCAGCTTGATTATCACAATACAATCTCATTGGATGATCCTCACAAAACCTTAACTCTCGAATGAGTTGCTTAATCCATACAAGTTCACAAGTAATCAAGGCCATAGCTCGATATTCAGCTTCAGCACTAGATCGAGCAACAACATTTTGTTTCTTACTCTTCCAAGAAATGAGATTTCCACCAAGGAATACACAGTATCCAGTAGTAGAACGTCTATCTATAGGACATCCTGCCCAATCAGCATCACAGTATCCAGAAATCCTACTGTCTCCTTTGTCCTCATATAGTAATCCTTGTCCTGGAGCCTTTTTGATATATCTAAGAATATGCAAAACAACATTCCAATGATCGATATGAGGAGCCTGCATGAACTGGCTAACAATCCCCACTGCAAAAGAGAGATCAGGTCTTGTAATTGTAAGGTAAATGAGTTTTCCAACCAATCTCCTATACCTTTCTAGATCTGCGAACGGTTCACCTTGATTAGTTATTAGCTTTTGGTTAGGATCCATAGGACTATCAATGGGTCTACAATCAGTCATGCCTGTTTCCTCCAAAATGTCCAAAGCATACTTCCTTTGAGAGATCACAATGCCTTCCTTTGATTGGGAAACCTCGATACCAAGAAAATATTTTAGATGTCCCAAATCTTTGGTTTGAAAGTGGCTAAACAAATGTTTCTTCAATTGAGAGATTGTAGATACATCGTTTCCTGCAATCACTATGTCATCCACATAAACAATCAAATAAACACATCTCCTAGGAGAAGTATGACAGTAGAAAACTGAGTGGTCTGCTTCACTTCTTTTAAGCCCAAAGTCCTGTGCAACATCACTAAGTTTTCTAAACCAAGCTCGAGGAGATTGTTTGAGGCCATAAAGAGATCTTCGCAATTTACAAACTAAACCAGACTCCCCCTGAGCAACAAATCCAGGAGGTTGCTCCATGTGAATTTCCTCCTCCAACTCACCATGGAGAAAGGCATTTTTAATGTCTAATTGGTGGAGTGGCCAATGACGAATAGCCGCCATAGCAAGAAAGAGACGAACAGTAGGAAGCTTGGCCACAGGAGAGAAAGTGTCACTATAGTCTAGGCCGTAAACCCCTTTGCCACCAATCAGGCTTTGAGTCGATCAACTGCACCATCAGTGCCAACTTTAATAGCATAGACCCATCTGCATCCAACTGGTCGTTTCCCAGGAGGAAGTGGAACTAGCTCCCATGTACCACTATGCTCAAGAGCTTGCATTTCAGCAATCATGGCTTGTCTCCATCCAGGATGACCAAGAGCCTCATGAACATTTTTAGGAATGGTAAGAGGAGATATAGAAGAGACAAAGGAGAAATACAAGGGAGATAAGTGATGATAACTCAGAAAATTATAAATAGGATGAGGGTTTTGAGTAGACCGAATACTTTTTCGAAAAGCAATAGGCCATCCTGAGTTATCCTCACTAGGATCCGTAGCAGGGACATCTGATGGTGAAGGACATGAAATCGGTGACTCTTCAGGTAATGTTGGATCAATTTGTTGTGCTCGACGTTGATATGTGACAAGAGGAGGTGGAGTAGCTTGAATAGGAGTAGTTGCGGGAATAATAGACTGAGTAACCTCTTGGTTATGAAGTGAAACTTGAGGTGGAATGGAAACATGAGAACAAACTGGTAGCACCTGTTGTACTGAAAGAGAATCATGAGTGGTGCATGAGAAAAATGGAGTTTGTTCAAAGAAGGTGACATCTGCAGACATGTAGAATTTTCTAGTCTCTGGAGAGTAACACCTATACCCTTTCTGAAGACGAGAATAGCCTAAGAAAACACACTTAATGGCTCTAGTAGATAGTTTATCCAAACCAGGAGAGACATTATGGACAAAACATGTACACCCAAAGACTCGAGGTGAGACATGAAACAATGGTTCCTTTGGATAAATAATGGAGTAAGGGATTTTATTTTCAAGGGAAGAAGAGGGCATTCTGTTTATTAAAAAACAAGAAGTGAGGATTGCATCACCCAATGATGTACAGGAACATTTGCATTGAGCATTAGGGTGCGTGCAGTCTCCACAAGGTGCCTATTTTTCCTTTCTGCTATTCCATTTTGTTGGGGTGTATGTGGACATGTAGACTGATGTAAGATACCCTGTGAGGATAGGAAAGAGGATAATTCAGAAGAGAAATATTCTTTTGCATTGTCACTTCTAAAAATTTTAATTATTCTCCCAAATTCGTTTTTGATCTCATTGAAGAAAGACATGAAAATAGACAAAAGTTCATAACGATCTTTCATTAAATATACCCAAGTACATCGAGAAAATTCATCAATAAATGTTGCAAAATATCTGAAACCAAAAGATGTTACACGACTTGGACCCTAAATATCAGAATGAATGGTGGTGAAAATCGAGTTACATCTTTTATCAGTTCGCTTGGGAAAAGACGACCTAACATGTTTGCCCAATTGACATGATTCACAACCTAACTCTTCTAAATTTTTAAGACTAGGAACCAAAAGTTTTAGCTTGGATAGACTTGGGTGACCCAAACGATCATGCAAGAGCTTGGGTGACAAAACAGCAAGACAAGACACAGGTGGTTGTGTTTCAAAATAGTAGAGACCACTAGATTCATGTCCTGCACCAATCTTCTGACCCGTACCACATTCCTGAATAACAAAAGATTCAGCATTAAAGGTTACTGAACAATTTAAAGATTTGGTTAACTGACTTAAAGAGATTAAGTTGAAAGGACAATTAGGAATAAACAGAATAGAGTTCAGATTTAGGGTGTGTTTGTATAAGCGTTGGTCTAAACGTGAACGTACGTTCATCTGAAAGATCCCTCACACTTACTTCTCTGTTTTGTGCTTTGGAAATTGGGATTGTCCGTTTGAAGCTTCTCAAACGGAAAGCCAAACATACACTTAGTGAGGGAGACAAAGAAACTTGACCGATTCCTTTGGGAGCAATTCTGGATCCATCTGCTAAGGTAATAAGGTGAGGTGATTTAAGTGGGGACATGGAAGAGAACATAGAATTATTACCAGTTATGTGATCAGAGGCTCCTGAATCAATGATCCATGGACTTTGATTTGCAGTTGAATGAGAAACACAAGCTGTAGAAACAGTAGTGGTAGAGAAAGATTGAGCTTGATTCATAGACTTCCATTGAAGATATTCTTGATAGTCATCTTCGGGGATCTTCATATCAGATTTTTCTAATTTCTCAGATTTGGACAGATTTGCATAATTATTTTGAGCCTTTTTCCAAAAAGAACAGCAAGTTTTGAAGGCTCTAAGTGTCCCCAAAATATTTGGCTTAATCGACTGCCACAACACAACACATAGTTGAAAATCAAGCTTCTTCCATTTAGCCCGACTTTCATCTGAACCCTCAGTGTCTTCCATTTCTAAGTGATCATGGTACCCTTGACCAAGGAACCATAGTTCTACAGAGGCAGCCTATGATAAATAATTTTTTCCATTGAGTTTCTCCGTGGTTATGGTCGGAGTGCCAGAAATAGACAAAATAGGGCCTAGAGATGTCATAAGAAGATGGATCGTGCAACAGGGATTAGAGAGAGAAGAACAGCAGAAGAGAAACGCAGACCCACACCTTAAATAGTGGTCAAATCACAAAACTGAGTCCAGAAACAGGCTCAGGAGGCTCCGACGAACAAGACGGTGGCGGAGTGAGGGGGTTCCGAAGGACAGATAGCGGCGTGAACAGTACACGCTTGACATAACTGGAGAGAGAAACAGCCCGTGAGAGCACGTGGGGACTCTGACGACGCCGGAGTTGACGGGGTTAGGTTGCGCTTGACGAGGTGCACCAAACCCTAGGTTTGCCGGAGTAACAGGTTGCTGGCAGACGGCGGCGAACAATGGCGGACGGCGGTGGACGACGGTGGACGGCGGCGGACGGCAGAGCGGGATCGACCCCGCTCTGGTACCAACTTAGATATTCAAATAAGCAGCAAAAAGCACAAATCCACCGATCTGTCTATTTCTTATATATTGAATGAAAAAGAGAAGGATTACAAGAAAAATAACTGAGTAGTCTAGAGGCCTAAGCCATTACATCAAGCTAGAGTTAAGTCAGGAAATACATTAAAATATTTAATAAACAGAAGAGACTTTCTACATAAGCTATTCTAACAAGAGTCATGATTGTGCTGAAGATAGTTTGTGAAACATGGACAAACAGACGTGTCTTTGTCTTTACCTTCTTGATTTTTCTTTTTGAATTTTTATCTGGGTCATGGTGGAATTGTCTAGCCATGTTATTTGGCTTCCTAAAGATCTAAAACCTCTAGGTATGATTATATTCCCACTATCTAGAGATCATAACTTTCTCTATAAAATTCTAGAGGAACAATTTGGAAAAAGTTTGTTAGGACTTTTATCTTCATAGTTCATATGATAGCTCTTGATACCAATTTTGGTTATTTTACCTAGAAAATATATTTATTTATTTTTAAAAAAGAGATGTTTTATTAGGAAGAGCTTATTAAACTTTTATTCATGAACTCTATATATAGAGCTAAAGTGTAAAACAAAATTCAAGTACTTACATTATCCTATTTTGAAGATTAAACTGATAATATTCTAAATATAAATGAAAGGAATGATATCCTTATCTTTATCTGTATGACTTCTACCTATGAATATTACGAGCAATTACTGGATGGATTTTAATTTTTTTCTCTTTATTGTAAGCCTTATTAATTGATCCTTGCTCCCATTGAATCTTCCTGAGTTATATATCTGATTTCTTTTCTGGGATATTCAATACTCTTGTCTTTTCTCGTTATATTGTTTCCAAAGCTTTGATGTTTTGAATTCAGGCTAGGCGTCTTCCTTATGTTGCCATGGCCAGTCAAGCTCATGGAGGAAGCTTTCCTAAAGGCTCATGGATTGGGGAAATGAAGCAGGCTTCTGATAAAACAGTTATAATTAGTGAAATTTTGGATCCTAGGACAAAAAATCTTCTATCTATGTCGAAGATTAGTGATTATGTTTTATCAAACGAACTTGTCAGCATGGCTTTGGCCATGGTTGCAGAAGATCGGCAGATAAATGATGTATTGGAGGAGCTCTTTGCGGAGGAGGTACACTCTTTTCGTAAAATTAGGGGATACATTACATGTTTTGCATACATTACTTGTAACATACTGAAAAGCCTGCCAAGTTTGCTTTTTGCTACGTTGTGTAGTTCCTATCTTGTAGCAAACTAATAAATTCAGATTCCTTGCAGTTAACTTGAGCATCCCGTGAGAGAAATAAAGTATTTATTTTCCTTTTATGCTGCATAATTTAATTAATTTTCTCTTCTGGATTTTTATTAGGGAAATGAGATGCATATAAGGCAAGCAGATCTATACCTTTGTGAAGGTGAGGAATTGAGTTTTTATGAAATAATGTTACGAGCTCGGCAGAGAAGAGAGATTGTGATAGGCTACCGTTTAGCAAATGCTGAGAGGGCAGTCATTAACCCCCCAGCGAAAACTGACAGACGGAAGTGGTCATTGAAGGATGTTTTTGTGGTGATTACTGAAAAGGAATGAGGCAATTGTGGACAAGGCAAAAGATATTCATGCTTTGGTGATTTCGGAGTTATGAAGTCTAATATAATCCTTAAAATTGTAAGCATAGGTTATTTTAGTCCCGACTTTACAAAATCTGTACTTTAATTTCTGACTTTGTAAGACATCATTCACTTTGGTCGTTTTTGGTGTAAAACTATGTGGGAAAGTGAAGCCAAAAAAATTAAAATGAATTACTTTTTGGAAAATCAGAGACTAAGGTTAAGATTTTGATGAGTCACGGACTAAAGTGACCAATGCTTATTCAATTGGACTCTTCAATTCTCTTTAAAATTGGACGGGATTGTCATTAAAGCAATGCAAGTTGCCTTATGTAAAGAATCATGTCATTGACCACTATGGTTAGCCTAGTGGTTGGGTGGGGAGGAATTGGGGTAGTTAGTCATTGCAACCATCTTTATAATCTTTTCTATCTTTACAAAAAAAAAAAAAAGAATCACGTCATTTATGAATATATTTTGAGAACTGAAGGTTTTTAGGAGATAAATCATCTTATATTAGAGTGTGTTTGATTCAACTATTTTAAGTTTATTTTATCCTTAAAAGAGATTGGGCTAAACAATATTCATGAAAAACTCTTTAAGAAAAAGTAACTTGTTTTCATAGAACAAATTTTAAAAATAAGTAGATTATAAATAAGGTGTGTTTGGAGATGATAATGGAGGATTGGGCATATATAGGAAACACAAGGGCAAAACTTGGCCTTATTAGGGAAATGGTGGTGGAGGATGAAGGAGGAGCAAGATTGGTTAAAATATAGTGTTAAGGTACAAATATGAGAAGGAAAATGGGATTAGGAAAGAAGGGGTAGGAGGGCATTAAAATGGTGGGCGAATATTGATTCTATGGAGGAAGAAGGGTCTTTGAAGTTGTATCATGGTGGTCTCTCATTGATCGACTCAAGGCACATCAACAAAATTTTGAGTTAATATAAACTCTTTGCACCTCTATGTTGAAGCTTGGAGGGCTTTGTATTGTAGTAGTCTTTCGTTGATCGACCCAAGGCACATTGACAAAATGCTGAGTCTACCAACCAAGATATCTCTTAGATAAATGATAAATTTTGTATATTGAGAAGGTCTTGAATTATATGTATGAGGACTAGGATATGGGATGATTCACTTGTCCACTTAGACAATTAATAAGATTATGAGATTCGTGGGATGGATAAGATAACGATCATAAACATCAAGGTTTACGAATTCATAATAAGATGTGATTTATGAGATCATAACGAGAAGTGTATGATTCATATTTGTAGTGTCACACCACTATATATATGAATGATTAGGTATAAGAACAAATGTTATACTCATCGAATTTTCTAGGCTAGAATAGTTGTTAGGCTCTCTTAGTACTTGTATCACTAAGGATTTTTCAAGAGCAATCCCTGATTTTGAAACATTTGGGTGCCTACCATGGGATAGATAGAACTATATCCCACACCTTAATTGCTTGGCACTCACAATGCCTAGGTTGCTAAGAAGCAATGTAGAGAGGCTAGTAATGACTACTCCAATGGTGTTAAGGCGACATTACAGGAGATCGCAACTACATTAAAGATGTTAAGGAGAGAAAATGAAGAAGCAAAAAGGAGAGTAGAAGAATTTGAGCATTACAATAAGAGGAACAAGAGCTCATGTGTCATCTCTCATAAATCCGAGAAAAATACAGAACTGAATAAACGAGAGAAGAAATGAGAGAAAATGCAACCTCATTTTGATCTTCATTATTGAAAAATATCCCATACAAATACAAGGGAATGAGAAGAAAGAGAAGGTGGTTACAAGCAAAATGATAAAAAGAAAAACAGAAAAGATTTGATACAATGATGCTAACAGAAAAGAAAATAAAACAAAATAACAGAAAAACTAATGAGTTGTGTGGGCCGCGGGCTGCATGCATGGGCTGCATGAAGAATCTACCCATTATCATCACGGAGCTTACTAGATGTATACGTATTTGAGCTGTAAGAGCCCCCCTCAAGCTGGGAATGGATATTAGACATTCCTAGCTTGCCATAACACTGTTTGAAACACATGAGGATGAAGCACTTTTGTAAGAATATCTGCAAGTTTCATGGAAGAAGATACAGGGAGCAACTTGAGAACACCAAGATCAATCTTTTCACGAATAACCTGGCAATCTATCTCGATATGCTTCGTTCTCTCATGGAAAACTTGATTATGAGCAATTTGGACAGCGGAATCATTATCACAAAAGAGCAAAGCAGGTCTTTCATAAGGGATTTGAAGATTGTCAAGGAGGAAAGAAAGCAATTGTATCTCACATGAAGCTAAGGAAAGAGCTCGGTATTCAGCTTCAGAAGAACTTCTTGAAATCGTAGCTTGCTTCTTTGACTTCCATGAAATCAAAGAGTCACCAAGGTAGACAAAGTATCTAGTCACTGAGCGACGAGTTTCCAAACAACCTGCCCAATCCAAATCACTGAAACCCTTGCAACAAGCTTGAAGAGGGGAGAAATATGCCAGCACCGAGGGATTGTTTCAGGTATCTAAGAACCCGAAAAATAACTCTGTAGTGAATATCAGTGGGAGAGGAAACAAATTGACTTAAGTTCTGGACAGCAAAAGTAATGTCTGGGCGTGTTGAGGTAAGATAAATGAGCTTACCAATTAACCTTTTGTAAGGTGAAGGGTCAGCAAGAACAGTTCTAGTTTCAGAGGTTAACTTTGTTGTGTAATCTATTGGAGTTGAAACAGGGGCACAAGTCAACATCAGATAAAACATCAAGAACATACTTCCTTTGAGAAAGGTGAATTCCATCAGCTGATTGGGGCACTTCGAGACCTATAAAATACTTTAGATTTTCAAGATCCTTAACCTTAAAAGTTTGATCAAGAAGAAGTGTAATTGAGATATTTCAGACAAGTCATTACCAGATAGGACAATATCATCTACGTAAACTAGGAGAGTTGTGATAAAGGAACCCGAGAACTTTAAAAATAGGGAGTGATCAGCTTGAGAGTGATGATAACCATGTAGAAGAAGAAAACTAGATAACTTTGCATACCACTGACGGCTTGCTTGTTTAAGCCCATACAAAGAAAGTTTCAAGAGACACACTTGATCACGTTGAGCTGAGAGACCTGGAGGTACATGCATGAAAACCTCTTCATGAAGCTCTCCATGCAAAAATGCGTTATTCACTTCGAGTTGTTTGAGGTACCAGTTATTTATGGATGCCAAAGCTAACAACATACGAACAGTTGTTATCTTGGTAATGGGTGAGAAAGTATCGAGAAAATCTAGTCCCTCGAGTTGATTATACCCTTTCACAACGAGACGAGCTTTGTATCTCTCAATGGTGCCATTAGCATTATACTTAATCTTGTAGACCCATCTACATCCAGTAGGAACCTTGCCAGGGGGCAGATTGGTTAAAGTCCAGGTGTGATTCATCTTAAGAGCAGCAAGTTCATCCCTCATAGCCTTAACCCAACACTCAGATTTGGAAGGCTCAGCATAAAAATGTGGTTCAGTGAGGACTATCAGATGAGGGTTGGTAAATCCCAAGGAGTGTTGTAGGCTTAGATTGTTGAAATGCGACGAGGCAACGCAAAGGGGGGAGTATAACCACCAAAGGCATTCTAACCCTTTTCTGAAGCCATAAAAAATGAGGTTGTGTTACCCAATTGCCTGTTTCGAGGATTTAACCCTTTGATGGAACCTAAGACCTTGATGAGCATCTGATGACTTATTGAGCTCACATGTTGATTAGTGGAGGGTCTGATGTCGCATACTGCAACCTATTTATAGGAACTCTTACGGCCATCACGTTAAAATGGTTCAATCGATTAGTAGACAGATCGGTAACTAATTTTGACGTCCTGTCATGACTTTTTGTAGCTCAATTCGTAGCAAACAAGAAGAAACCCTCGATGATCGTAGAATTGTTGGACGTTCGCTAGCTCCTAGATGAAGCCTTGAAGGAATACTTAGATTCAATCGGGTAGCTATCAAAGTGACCTACCTAAATGAAAGGATGTTTTTTTGTAGCATACGGTAAGGGAGTCAAGTCAGGGGCATTCTCAGAATCCCTCCTCCAGAGAATGATTGGGAGCATAATTGAGGTACGCGCGAGAGCCTCTTATCACGTTGAGGTGGAAGAAAACGAGGCTCGAAAAAAAGAAACAGAAAAAAAGGGCAAGTGTGAGTTCTCAAACCACCACTAATTGTCAGTTGAAATCATTAGTCAAAGTTTTGTTTAAGGCATTTTGAATAAAGTCCTAGTTTCTAGAATCAGTTTTCTTTATTTTTGGCTTGTTATTATGAAGCGTGGATTGTTACCACGTGGGTTAGTACGTGTCATTTCTGTTTCATGTAGGCTTATACAAGCCACTTTCATTCCATTGAATAATATGCAGATTTTCCTTCAATATTTCTTTACGTTACATTTCTGCGATTAACAATTAGTATCAGAGCTCCGTAAGGGGCCTGGTAAAGTGTGAGGAAAGAAACACTGAGCAAGAGTGAGTGCTCCGTAAGGGGCCTGGTATAGTGTGAGGAAAGAAACACTGAGCAAGAGTGAGAATGTGGAAAAGAAAATATTCCAAAAGTTCACCATGTCTGCGTCTGAAAAATTTGTTCAGCCAGCCATTCCGAAGTTCGATGGCCACTATGGCTTTTGGTCAATGACAATGGAAAACTTCCTACGAAGTAAAGAAATGTGGCACCTTATAGAAGAAGGTATACCAACCCCTGCACCTGGAGCAACACCAACTGAGGCACAACAAAAGAGTATAGAAGAGGCAAAGCTCAAAGACTTGAAAGTAAAGAATTTCTTATTTCAAGCCATTGACAGAGAAATCCTTGAACCTATATTGACAAAGGAACTTCAAAGGCAATATGGAGCTCCATGCAGAGAAAGTATCAAGGGTCCACAAAGGTGAAACGAGCACAACTTCAAGCACTAAGAAGAGAGTTTGAATTGCTTGCTATGAAAGAAGGGGAGACGGTGGACAACTACATGGGCAGGATTCTCCATGTGGTCAACAAAATGAAATCAAATGGTGAGGCAATGGAGGAAAGTACGACCTTTTGGTGCATGAGCAACACATGCAAGGTTTCCAAACAGAAGAACATGTCTTGAAGATAACCAATGACGATAGACCTACTAGGGGTAGAGGAGGCAGAGGTTCATTCAGAAGGGGACGCAACAAAGGAG